CTCTCTCTCTCTCTCTCTCTCTCTCTCTCTCTCTCTCTCTCTCTCTTTCTCTCAAGCTTGACGCGATTCTTCCCTCGGCCATCAAGATCCGTCGACCGCACGTTTTCCGTCGTCTAATCGTTACCTTCTTCACGAGCGCGATAATACCAGTTTTAGTGGTTGTATCCCATCCGCTGTGTCCGCATGTTTCCGCTGTGTAACTCTGTTATCGTCGCATCCGCGCTTCCGCTAACGATTCCGCCGTAAGGAGATATGACGACGTCGACCGTTTTGTCCGTTTCTGGTCGGATGGTCGGATTTAAAATTCGCGCTTCCCATTCTGGTCGCGATAACCTTTCGCTTTATGCTGCAATAAATGTCTAAAAATATCGCGCTCCTACAAGGCGTGACGCGATGGGCGCTCCGGGTAAATGCGCACCGTTCGCAAACTGTGTCACGTGTAATATCAACTTAACTCGATGCGGCTCGATCACCGGAGGCGCGCGATCGGCATTTAGCCGACGGTGTCGGGGACGAGCCTCCGGCTTCGATCTTCGACAAAGCGAGCTTTTAAAATAGAGACATAAAAGCGTTGGTGGTGCTTATTTTCCGATTGTTCGATCGATAGCGCGTCTTGACGGGAGAAACGTGTCGTGGGTTCCGTTCTTCGGAGATCGAGGCGGACGGACAATGTCGCCCCGGCGAGATGTTTCTCCATTTCGCACGGGGATATCCCGTGAAAACGGCAGTTTATTTTCATTCGGCGAATTTGCATTCGACTCTCGATCGTTTCTCCCAATGACGAAGTAGCTTCGGTCATTCCGTGCCAAAGTCAGCTTCGGCTCTTCCGAATTCCCTTCGCGACTTGTCACGCTCGTCGCCGTCGTCTCACTGCCTGCACCCCGTTTCCGAGAGGAATCAACGGGGCGGGTTGCGCAGAATCGGCTAATGAATTTTTAATGGATCTCTTACGCGGAAAAAAGAGTTGGCTGCGGCTGCAAGAGTTTGTGTGTGGTCCACTGAGAGGAAAATATTTAAGAAATAAAGAAACTTCATTCGGTGAATACTAATAACATGTTTACTTAAATTTAGATCTTCAATTAAATAGAATATACGCTTTCATAAAAAAGCTAGGATTTTAAGAAAACTTATATTAATTATTATTTTCTCGATAATTATATAAATAAAATTAATATCTCCTTATCTGAAACATATTTTATATTAGTTTAAATAAGTGTTTGAAAAATATTAATATTAATTTAAATAAGTATGTTATTAGTAGTCATTGCGAATTAATATTTTTTATTTTTTAGATATTTTTCTTCTCAGTGCGGCTAAATCTCGTTGTAATTTAGAGACATCTCTACAAAGGGGAAATATTATAATTTTTCTTTTTTTCGCTTAAATTCTTTCCAATTTCATTATATGTTTTCAGTAATCCAGGAATAGACTGTCAGTAAGGTATCTGTCTTGCTAAGAAACGTAGTAAATTTCGTTAAAAGTATAGCGAGCTTGAACAGCACATTTCACTTTTTAAAATTGAATTAAGGTTTCGGCCTCGGGATCAAAATTGGTGCGCAATCAGGACCTTGTACTTTGCACTTGTAGGATGGTATTGGATCCCAAGGCCACCAGTTTGCACAGTGATTACGGAAGTTTCGATCGACCATTGGGCGCCGGGGAGGGCCACGAGAGGGACGTCGAGGCGGCGGTTGATGGAAGCAGCAGCGGGATGGCACAGTCCAGCGACGTTTATCAACGGCAGCCGCTGTTACCCGGCGTTCCCTCCAAGAGCAAGGACAAGTGGTCCGGGGTGGCCTCGGGCTCGGACTACTACGAGGACGACGAAGACGAGAAAATCGAGACGCTCAGCCGGCACCCTGGCATACCAAATGGCTCCGGTAGCGGCGTCGTTAAGCTCGATATACCGGCGCCGCTGCGCGAGGAGCCGCGTTTCCCCAAGGAAAAATGGAAAACGTTTCTCGGTAAGAACAAAGGGTGAATTTATCGCCGGCGGAAATGGCTCCCCCAGGGAGCAACCGAGCTAGAAATGGGGGTGCCAAGAACGAGACGGGGAATTGTCGGCTTGAGAAAGTCGATGGAGGTGTCGAGTTCATGGCGCGGCACATAAAATTCACCGATATTGTAATTTTTCTATTAACCGCGTGCCTATATGTGTGCGTGTGTATTTGCACATCTCTCTTTCTCTCTCTCACACTCTCGCTCTCGCTCTCGCTCTCTCTCGTGCGTGAGATGTTCCTTTCGCGGTGTTTCCCCCGAACGAACCGATACACTTAGAGCGTTAAACAAGGCGAGAGTACACGCGCACTCAACTCGCACATGGGTTGGCCTACTTTTACCCGTATTATTTTTTCCCGCATTTATTTTCTAATGATGGGCTCTTGGATTAAGGCTCTTGGCTCCTCTCTCGCCGCATATCTTGATTTATGATGTCAGGAAAGCGAGGAAATGCTTACTCAAAATTCTTGCAAAGTACATTGAAATAAAAAGATACATCCAAAAAGTAACACTTACTAATCGATTAAGTACATCTCGTAGCATTTTAAACGCTTTCTTGTTGTTTCAACGATTAATAGGTAACCGTAAAATTAACGTGACAAAATAATGAAGAAATGTACTTTAAAAAGGAAGATTGCATATCAAGTCAATTTTACGGTTATTGATCGTTAGAGCAACAGGAAAGTGGTTGGAGTGTTTCAGAGGTGTGCTTGATTGATGGTGCAAATGTCACTTTTGGCGCATACATCTTTTTATTTTAACGTGCCTTGCAGAAATTTTTGGCGCGCATTTCCTCGGTTCTCATCATCAATCAAGAGTTTCGCGGCGAGGAACCAGAAGCCTTAATTCAAGAGTAAATTTGTTCTTGTCGAAAGTACCGTCGTTTTTATGAGCAGCTATTTATCGCGACTTTACGATTCGGCAATATGTGGGTCTGATAAATATTATCCAGGACTGGCTTTCTCTGTGCTTATCGGCTGCACCTTGCCGATTTTACGGAATTCGCGATCGGATTCATCGATACCCACGTAATAAGCACAGGGCGAGAATGCACTGACGGTTATCGGGATGTCGACGAGGAACTTGGTCGGATAATTCCGCCAGCATTACCGGCTCCAGTTCGGCTGCGTGTACGTGCCGCTCGCTCCCCAGTCGGCGGGGAGACCATCGAGATCGAGGTCATTACGTGACCTGGTATTCGGTACCGACGTTCTGAGGGACCGAGATCTCACTGAGGGCCTCCACCACCGGTCGGTCTCTCTTTTTTTCTCCGAGAATTGCCGAGCGGTTTGGCGACTTTTCCTCTTGGAGTCGAGGCAGGTGGACGCGCCTGTTCGCGGGCAGGCAAATCGCGGACGGAAACGGATTTCGCGAGTCCCGTTAGGGGATCAGTTACGGGGCAAATCGTTGTTGCATGACCGAGTCAATTAACGCCGGTGATTTTCGAACATGCGAGCGGAAGAAGTAGCGTACGAAAAGTTGCATGTGTCGATCACGGGGACGACGGCTCCTCTCATTCTCATAGTCATTGCTTCCCGTTACAGCGTTTCTCTTCATGGTCGTGAACTTCATACTAACCACGGCGTCCCTCGCGATGGTGCACGAGCGCGTACCGGATAGAAACACATACGGACCATTGCCAGACGTGGTGTTGGACAACGTCGTCGCACAGGACTGGGCGCTTACCGTCTCGGAGGTTCTCATTATGATCATGTCAAACTCCGCGATGGTCTTCATCATTTTCCATAAGCATAGGTACGCACCTGCGATGAGCCTCCTCTGCGGAGAACGATGGTCCGAGTATGGAGACGCGGTGATTGTACGATCGTGCACAATTTCTGTTTCCAGATTTATTGTAGTTAGGCGAGTGTTCCTGCTGATGGGGCTGCTCTACATGATGCGGAGTATCACGATGTACGTGACGGTCATGCCGATCGCCAGCAAGACTTACTATTGCAGCCCGAAGGCGAACAACACCAGCCCGCTGCTCGTAACGAAGAGAGTCCTGCAGCTTATCTCTGGCTTCGGTTTGTCTATAAACGGCAGACACACCTATTGCGGAGATTACATTTACAGCGGCCACACAGTCGTGCTAGTACTCAGTTACCTGATCATCAAGGAATGTACGTATATCCCTCTTCTCTCTCTCTTTCTCTCTGTCTGTCTGTCTGTCTGGTTGGTCGTTTCAAAATAAATACGCAGCCGCCGTTGCGAAGTATTTCGCAGCCGACGCAGTGTCTCAGGCAGTGTCTGTAACGTATTTTAGATTCTCCGAGAAGGTGTCAACCGATCCACTGGTTAGCGGGTCTCACGGTGCTCGTCGGAGTAATTATGGTCCTGGTAGCTCACGGTCACTACACCGTGGATGTACTTATAGCTTACTATGTTACTACACGCCTGTGGTATATTTATCACACGCTAGCCAACAACCCGCATCTTAAGGTACGTCCTACTTTCGGTCGATTCGTTAAAAATCTCTCGTCGTTCGCGGCGACTAATTGTTTCAAGCCTGATCACTCATTTGTTTCGATATTAGCAGCATTTAAATGTAAAGCAATATTAGCAGCATTTAAATGTAAAGCAATCTTAAATACACGTTGCCAATTTTTATATGTGCCGTTAGTAACGTATGCAAACAGTTGATACTTGATAAATAGATTTATATTGCAATCTTTGCCGCGTCGCTCATAAGATAACGATATTTTTGCAGCAATATGGACCAAACAACTTTTTGGCCCGACTCTGGTGGTTTCGAATCTTCAAATATTTCGAGAAAAATGTGGGCGGCACAGTGCCACGACAATATGACTGGCCTCTACCTTGGCCTCGACGATTTCTTGCCAAGCATCCTAACCGAGATAGTTAATACTGGTCCTGACATCACGATAGAGGCTGTTAAACAAAGGAAGGGGGGATTTACTTTTGTTGTATATATTATATACATACATGTACACACATACTTGCGTATGTATACATCTTAGGCTCGTTAAGTGGGAGATAAAGCTTTGCTAGAGAGACGGATAAATGTGGGACGTACGACCGTTTAAAGAGCGGCTACAGACATTTGTGGAAGCATGACACTTTGTGTCGTTCACTTCTTTGTAATCTAATCGTGAACTCGCGGACACAATATTCGTACTCTCTCATGTAAGTCATCGTCCAATCGGCTCGAATTTACTTTTCGCTTGATTTTGATACAATTTATATATACAATTTAAAGGGTAGATAAACGAGATGGACGGAGTTAGTTGTAGCACGGAGATTCGGATGGTGGGAAGTGAGACTCGAATGGTTACCGTACAATTCCGACATGTTTTATTAATTCGTATACAATCGCGTGTACCTTCGGATATAGCTATGTAAAGAGAAACAGCAAATCGAAAGTATAATACACGGTAAAATAAGTAAACTTAGAAGAAATTGTAGGGCGTGCGTTTATCGAGAAGATGCACGTTTCTAGAGACTCGATCCACCGTGTACACAATAAGGAATATTTTTTAATCTTCAACGAGTCATGTCATACCACCGTAGAAGTAAAATTCACGGAACCCGACTCTTTCCGACAGACGAATCTCCGCATCGCGTTCTTAGTATGTCTCGACTTCCAGTACCTAGATACGTCGTCGTCCCTGACTCTGCATTCGCGACACGAATTATTCCGATGAAAAACAAGTTCGCAGACAAATTTTTGCCAAAGGTACACCGTCGTCGTCGTCGTCGTTTTCGTCGCGTCCGCGCGACACAGTACATCTCTCCCTCTCTTGTTAGTCCCCGTCTCGTAGTTCCACCACTGTCGATCCTCCTCGAAATTGTTTTCCGCGCGCTTCGTCGGCGAGAAACAGCCCGATCCAGCACTCTAGAGGCGATTGTGCAATTTCGTGGGACCAAAACCAGGAGCGCTCAATAATAGATGTTAGTTTATGTAGCATTGACAAAACGCAAGCATATACCGAGTCGCGAGCTGACATGATCTCCATCACACATATTTAACCTGATTGACATCACCGGCGCCGATAACGGACTCGATAACGTCATCGATCGAGGATTCCGTGTCGTAAAAATTGACTCACGCGACAATGAATAACGGTCGCGGATGGAATTCGAATCTTATTACCTGCCATTTAACAAATTATCGTCGATTCGCGTTTAGAACGTACACAGCCATGCCTCAGATTTGGAACGAGTTTACCTCGCGAGGAACGCGCGTTTCTAGAACACACACACGTACACACACACACACACACACACACACACACACACACACACACACACACACACACACACACACACACACACACACACACACACACACACACACACACACACATATACCTGAACACATACCTGACTCTTCTAACTTCCACTTAAGCAACGTCGCCCTCGTGCTGTCTCATACGAAAGTACCATATCTAGAATAATAAAAAGAAAAAAAGAGAAAATCTTACAAAATAATAATAAAGATGAAAGTACTGACGCACGTGTCGCGTTCGTGTTTTCACGGAACAAGGTCGTCGTACGCTTGTGCACACACATACACCGGATGTTGTCATATATATTATACATATACATATGCGGAGGCGATGTAACATGCGAATCGTGCGAACTGTTAGCGGGACAGTTTTATGTGGAGGATGCGCACTAATAACGATCGATCTTTCGCACGATTCCTCCTATCTTCCTTTGTTCTTCTTATTGTTTCGATTCCCCGTTATTGCATCTCTTGCCCCGTTCTCTTTCTCCGAGAATAAAAGATTGAGAGAGGAAGAGAGCGACGCTTGTTTACTATAATTTGATGACGATGATCGTTACACTATTATTTAATGACGACGATACATATTGCGATTCTTCTATTGAGGAGACGCGCAAAAGATGCGAATCTCAGTTAATATTGTACAAGTAGGCGGTTTGCGATCGCCATAGGCGTGACAGTACGTTTTCCTAGCGTCTGATGAGAGTAGAGTGATGTCGTATTGTTGCGTGTGTGCGCGTTGCACGAGTGCTGGGGGTAACGTGTTATTAATCATAGTTTAAGAACGACTCGTTAGCCGCAGTCCGCGCGCAAATTATTGTTGAATCTTTAATCTCACTAATTGAGTAGAATGGGAAACGTCTGTGCAGTTCTCCGTCGTTCTTCGTTAATTATTGTGCACTTTTGAATGATTAATAAAATTCTCTGACATTCCGCCGATCAGCGAGAAAGTCTACGTCATTAGGTGAAAACGAGAAGAACGCAGAATCTGTGTGTCTCGATGAAATTGTAACACGGCATCGAAGAATACTCAATATAGAGATCTAATTTTATTACTTTGTAACCCGCGGTTACGTTCCTCTTTTGATTATTTCCGGAATGCGACCGGGACGCGTTTGACGATCGAGTATCAAGAATTCCGTGTGACCGATTTATAGTAAGGAGAGTTGAAAAGCGAGGAAGTGTGAGTGATAAAACAGAGAGATCCGATACACGCCGTGTGATGGCGTAAATTAACTCTTTTTCGTCTGTGATGATAAACAAATAAACAAACAAATAAATAAACAAACCCACGCAAATCGCCGTTGCGTGAAGTCCCGCGGTCACGAATATAATGTAGCGACCGGGCCGCGGATCGATTCCGAGCGATGTGTCCCTTACGGCCACCTAATATTTCTTCTCGACATTCAGATGATAGATTGTGAGTGTAACTGTTGAATATACATATATATTTTAATAAGATCAATGTGGTTCTCTCGTGGTAAAACTCTTTTAGCTGGCGGCGCCGCGCGCTCAAACGCGTAACAATGTATATAACGCCGTCTTAGGAGGTACATATACATATATTTTTTTTAAACGTGTGCATAATGTACATAGGCGCACTTTCAGCTGAACTCGTACGTGTAACAATTATATACATATAGGGCGATATATATATATATATATATATATATATATATATATATATATATATATATATATATATATATATATATATATATATATATATATATATATATATATATATATATATATATATATATATATATATAGTGTGTTGAATTTAACGTTAAAAACTCAAACGCGAGAATGGATTCGAGCGAACGCAGGCTCACATATACACATACACAGACATACATTTAAATATTGTAAGTATACATACATACATACATATATATATATATATATATATATATATATATATATATATATATTTTTTTTTTTTTCACTGTTGGACACGCGTTACCCATCGTGGTAACACATGTGCAACGCGTGTTCCGCGGTGCTATTGTTGCCCCTCTGCCGGATGGGCGGATACGCTTTGTACGTGGCGAAAAGCAGAACTTCGATGTGTAGAGCTTAGATCGGCCCGACGTTTACGAGGAGCGACGGTTTGATCTGACGTGATGGATGTTTGCGTGATCACGAGAATGAGCCAAAAGATCATATCCTTCGAGTACACCGCCATGTATCGCGTGCATGCGGACACACCACGCCAGGGTGTATGCACGCTTGTATGTGTACATTCAGTTACTAAACGGTGACCGCATATTTTTCCGAATGAAATGTAGCGCTCCCGGTTGTCACAAATTTAAGATACACTCCTGACGCGTTCGCGCTGTAATCAGTTATGACGTGAGTCGAAGTGATAATATAAAAGTAAATTTGATTAATATGATATTCAGATATTGTTATCATCCTGTAGTTTAAATCACTTGTGGACTTTGAAGGTTTAAATACATTTTTTTTACCTGGAGAAATCCTGAATATCCTCGGTCCTTGAGGAGGGACTGAGGATTATATTGGACTCTTACCGGTTAAAACTTCATGGTGGCCACCTCGATACAGTTTCGGTGTGAGAGGAAAGAATTTTGTATTACTTCTGCCTCAGGTTTAAATATATCCTTTTATTGATTAATTACAGCGCGAACGTGTCAGCAGTCTGTCAATTGTGACAAGCGCAACTTCATATGGAAAAATATATGACCATTGTTTAGTAACCGAGTGTTCATGTGTGCATGTGGATACACATGACTAAAAATAAAAAAAAGATGATAAATTTACACGCACACAATGGAAAGAAGCTTCTTCTGTCAACGGAAGGGCCTCGTTGATGTTTCTAATGTAAGAGAAGATAGATATAACAAATAAAAGAGTTCATATTATTGTATTACACACAGCCCGTGTCACATGCACGCACGTGCGCGTGAATATAATGTGTGTATGCGTGTTTATATGTATATACATATATATATCTATATTTTTACGTGTAGATATTTTTTGGTAACTTGTTACATTAATCCGATTAGACCAGTTAAGAGTATATAAAAAGAAATATATGTACAGGGTGCTAAATTTCAAACGTAACAGGTCAAATATCTCGAAAACTAAATGATATTGAGATCCGTTCTTTTCAAGTATTATATCTCGAAGGGAACACAGTTTGATCAAACAAAATTTGAGTTTGGATGGAGGTACTAAGGTAAAATGAAGGTCAAAGTATTTTTTTTTATGGAACTATTGTTTTGAACACCTACATTTGTAGTCCTTGTCCCGTTTGTTGACTATAATGATCACATATTCAAGATGATTAGAGGTCAAATAACGAAAAAAATGACTCGGAAACTTTATTAATACAGTTTAATCAACTCATTATTTCTCCTGTTCATACCGGCATAAGATCTATTGGAAAAATTCTATCATGATTTTCGTTAATGCTTGGTGTAAATGGATATGAATTGAATGTTGACGTTGACGATGCAAAACGAATTACAAAGAGTGCTTAATGATTTTCAACGAAGATTGCGGGCTTGCATAGATGCAAGGGGGCATCACACATACATTTTGAGCACTTAAACTAATGGAATTCTCTATGTTAAAGAGAAAAACAGTTCTTTTTTCTAGAATTTGTTATTCTTATTGAAGATTTATTAATAAAGTTTATTTCTTCTTTGCTTTATTAAAGCATTAATTTTCTTCTTTTTCATTATTTGAGTCATTTTTTCCATTATTTGACCTCTAATGATCTTGGATATGTGATCATTACAAGGATCATTACAATCTTGGATATATGATTCATCGTGACAAGAGCTACAAACGTAGGTGTTCAAAACAATAGAGTTCCATAAAAAAAAATACTGACCTTCATTTTACCTTAGCGCCTCCCAAAATCTAATTTTGTTTTATCATACTGTGTCCCCTTCGAGATATAATACAACCTAAAAAGAACGGATCTCAATATTATTTAATTTTTGAGATATTTGATCTGTTACGTTTGAAATTTAGCACCCTGTATATAAATATATATGAAAAAGAAGAGAAAAGGAGATTATATATGTTGTAAATAACAATAGCGGGGGAAGAGCTTTTGTCACCGCGTGGAGTCACGTCCTAAACGAATCAAAATTTTGTTAC